CCTGAGTCCTGCCTAGCTACTAACAAGCTGGCCTCCGACCCCAGTCATAGACAGTGTCCAGACCCAGATTCCAGGCTGACCTCTGAGCCCAGGCACAGATGGCCCTGACAGGCCTCGGGCTGGCTTGTTTCTGGACTGCTGCCACACCCTAGCACTTCCCTTCCCTTGGAGGCATGAAGACACATGCTGCACGCATGAGCCAGCAAGCAGATCTAGGCACTGGGAGGAGCTGGGGCCCAGCCCGTCCCGTCCCAGGTCGAGCCTGCCCCCGGGTAGGGCTCCTCTAGCACATACCTCCAGCGCTGTCGGTGACTTAATCTCTTCTGTCAAACAGGTTCCCCACAGTCATATGCTTCTTCCCATGCCCTCCCCTTTGGCTCTCCTGTCAAGGACCGAATGTGTTTGCTCACTCAGATATGATCTACTTCTGGAATGTCCGTGTGTCTGACACCCTGATGCATGGACACAGTTTCTTGGAATGGTTAACCTAAAACACACCCCTTCTCCTCCTAGCCTCCTTCTGCCTTCCCCACCAAATTAGCCAATGGGTGTAGATTGTGAGGCCGAACCCCTCAGCCAATGGCAGAACCAAAGCACACGCGCGTGCACACACACACACACACACACACACACACACACACACACACACACAGTTAGGGGATAGGGTGGAAGCCAGTGTGGAGGACGGGAGCTTGCTCCCCAGCTTTGGGGGACTCCTGATTTAGAACTGAAGTTCTCCTTGCTGTGACCCTTAATTCGAGCGGCCCCACAGTTGTCTCTGAGGACATGGGGCCCTCGCCCAGGATTCTGTCCCTCCTGAGGAGGTTCACGGCTCCCTTCCCGGAGGAAAGTCATCCCAGACCTGTAAGCAGTGAGCCCTGGGCCCTGAGTCTCTAGTGCTCCCTGGGCTAATGAAGAAAAACAAACACAGGACTGGAATCTGGAAAGGTGGCCCAGGGCTTAAGAGCTCTTCCTGCTCTTCTAGAGGACCCAGGTTTAGCTTCCAGCATGTGCATGGTGGCTCGCAACCACCCTGAACTCCAGATCCAGTGAATACAACATCTTCTAACCTCTACAGACACCTACACCCACACATACACACAGAACATATATACACACACAAACACACAGACATACATAAACTTACTTTTTCTTTTTCTTTCTTTCTTTTTTTTTTTTTTTTTTTTTTTTTTTTTTTTTTTTTTTTTTGAGACCTCTCTCAATCGCCCTGGAATTTGCTGGAATTCACTCTGTAGACCAGGCTGGCCTGGGACTCACAGAGATCCACTTGCCTCTATTTCCCAAGTATTGGAATTAAAGGTATGAGCTACTATGCCCAGCCATAACTTTTTTTTTGGGGGGGGGGAGACATGGTTTCTCTGTGTAACCCTGACTGACTGTCCTGGAACTCACTCTGTAGACCAGGCTGGCCTTGAACTCAGAGCTCCTCCTGTCTCTGCCTCCTGAGTGCTGGGATTAAAGGCGTGCACTACCACCAACCAGCCATAAACTTTTTTTAAAGCAGGGTGTAGCCTTTAATCCCAGCACACACACACACACACACACACACACACACACACACACACTAGGACTGGAAGGTTCTCAGCTTCAATGACTCAGACCCTGTGCCCAGGACACAGTTTAGAAACATTGGAGCCCACAGAGTGTTCCTTGGCGGTTGGGTCATCATGGAGGTTGAATGAGAATAAATAGAAACTGTTCATGAGTGTGGAGTCACTCTCTGAAGTTCCGTGGGTGCACATCCTGGTGACGTCATCCAGCCTTTGCCTGTGCCTTTGGACCTATTCAGGGCTCTACACCAACATGCCCATTGCCAAGAAGCATCAAACACAGGATACTGCCCCATAAGAATCAGTTTGAAGCCATGTGATCGTGATGGTGACGCACTCCTTTAATCCCAGCACTCGGGTGGCAGGGGAAGGTGGATCTCTGAGTTCAAGGCCAGCCTACCTACAAAGCAAGTTCCTGGACAGCCAAGAATAGCTAAGACTACACAGAGAAATCCTGTCTCGAAAAACAAACAAAAAGGCTGTGTTTCCCAAGAGGGAATTAAGTATGCTCAGTGCTGGAGGGAACGTTCCATAGTTCTGCTCCCCCTAAAAGCAGATCCGGACAACAGCAAAGATGGACGAAGTGTAAATGAGAATCTTGCTTGGTTTTCTCCCTCCTGATGTAGCGGGGCCACTGCTGCTCCCTCTGCCTTCTCTTCCCTCAGACAGACGCTGTGTTAGGCTCAGCCAACGCCAGCTCCGGTCAGCAACATGAGAGAAGTGATTATCTCCCAACAGCCTGAGACCCTTCGGCAACTGACGCACCCACTTAGGAAAGCTCCCCTAGGAAGAGGAGGGGGCTGTGTTTGCATGTGAACTCTCTGGTCTTTTGGTGAAGTCAGAGACAACCAGGAGCAGAACCAGATCCCATGTCCTGGAAACCAGGAGAAACTAAGTTAATAGAGGACACTGAACCCCACTAAAGCCAGGCTTGGGGGGGCAGGGACTCCATTTCAGGGCAACCTGGTCTTCAGAGTGAGTTCCAGGACAGCCAGGGCTACACAGAGAAACCCTGTCTCCAAAACAAAGAAAGAAAAAAAAAAAAAGAAAAAGAAGGAAGAGGAGAAAGATTACCTATTTCTTATTACTGCCTTGTAATTTAGCCCTACTTTACTTAGAAAAGCCATTCCTTTTATCTGTTACTGTTAGTAGAAGGACGGCAGTTGGTGGCTTCACACAAGAACACAGAGGACAAAACTACTCCAACCATTACTCTGGTCTGTGCGAGAGCCAAAGTTACGTTTTAAGTTTTAATTACTTTGCCTTGGAAGTCTACCAGACAAAAAAGCTCAAGGACAGATGGTTCCTGAAATGCTGGAGGCTGTTGTTTATGGGAGATGACAGCCTCAAGTCCTTCACTCCCCTCCTAAACAAGTTTGTTTGACCCATCTGCATGCAACAGATGTGCTTGGTCACAAGTGAGCAGGAGCTGCACTGGTGGGAAGAGGTCAGGATGTGTGCTTGTCCCTGATTGGATGTAAGCTAGAGGTATGTATGCTTGCCCCTGATTGGACCTGATGGGAAATGCAATGAATTGTGGGTTTTCCTTCTTCAGCCACTGCAAACTGTGACTCAAGGGCCATTTCCAGGAACCTGGGTAGGGACCAGGCCAGAGCCCATCTACCTGGCCAGAATTTAATTTTAAAGCTTGCTTCAAATTTGGCGTTACACTGTGGTAGTGGTCTTATTCTCCAACGATGGGATTTACAGCCTGCCAAACCCGTCCAGTGGGTTACAGCCACTGCTCTTCCTGTTCTTCTAACAGAAGAAAACAAGACACCAACCTTTGAGGGAAGATTACTATTCATTTCCCATCAAAGTATGGGCTACCTCATACCACCGGCTCACGGACTCTCAGATCTTCGAGAATGGTGCTGGCCTACTAGAGGTTGATGACTTGCCTCTGCTGGTCCTTGGATGCAGCCCAGCTTTCTGTTTGCTGTCATATGACTATAAAGGAATCTGAACACCATTGTTTGCACAGCACAGAATCCAAACTGAGGTCCTGTTTGACCTAAGAGAAATTCACTTTAATACCGGACTTGGGAGACGGGCTGGAGAGATGGTTCAGCAGTTAAGAGCACTGACTGCTCTTTCAAAGGACCCAGGTTCAATTCTCAGCACCCCACGATGACTCACAGCTGTCTGTAACTCCTGTTCCAGAAGATCTGATGCTCTCTGACCTCCACTGGGTCCAAGCACACACATGGTGAACAAACATCCCTGCAAGGCACAACATACACACAAGAGTAAATAAAGGGTGTGTGTGTGTGTGTGTCTGGGGAACAGTCTAACAGGGAACAACCTGAATTTGCTGAAAAGGCCGCTTAGACATGTCCTTAGTCTATCTCACCTTCGTTACGTTTCCTATCTCAAGTTCTCTGCCCTGATATTAACAAGGTAGGGTCTCCAAAGATGAGGATGGGGAAGGGTTCTATAGAGATGGTTTGGTGGCTAAGAGCACTTACTGCTCTCGAAGAGGTCACAAGCTCAGTCTCCAACACAACTGCCCGTAACTCCAACTGACCAGAAACTTCTGGCTTCCATGGGTACATACTTTATAAATAAATCATTAAAACAAAAGGTAGGAAACAGCTCTTACAAGCAGACAGAAAATGCTGCTTAAGCCCCAAATGTGTGAATTACTGTACCATGCACTTTAGGGCAGTCATTGGGACACCGAATGACGTGTAATGATACTCCCTTAGAATTTATGGGTACCTGGACCTTTACACCATAGCTAAAGAAGTCCAAGGATGCCTTATTTGTTCTAGTGTAAATAATCAAGGTTTGAGACCGCAGCCTTCTGGACAACACAAGACTCAAATAGTCTCCTTCCTGTTAGGGCAGACCTTCAGTCCAAATGTCATGCATTGTATGGTGTCCCTCTTCCAAGACTGAGGGCCCTGAAGCAACGTGTCCTGTAGCTCCTGTCCCTGCCGTTTCCCCCATCAAAGACATGGCGCCCTGACTGCCATAGAGCCCCCACCCCCCAGGAGTAATTGCACATCATGCCTTTCAGTTGACTCCAGTGGACCGTGGGATGGGGCACAGTAAAGGTCTGCCCTTTGAAGAGCTGACCAGTCAGCCCTGGCAGTCGCACAATCAGATATGTGGTGGTGTCATGGAGGACCCTTAATTGAGGTCCGATCAGTGGATCAGAGTGACTTGTACTTTAGTGCAATTGGCCACCTCTTTCAGTATGGCATTTAGATGTCCCCACCTGCCTTAAGGGCCCATCCCACAAGAAGGGGGTGCTGTTAACTCTAGGAGACTCGTTTGATCCCCATATTTATGTAGATGATATAGAAGTGTCCTGGGGAGCCCCCAATTAATTATTTCTAATCAATTAACCTTGGACCCAAATAGCAACCAGTTTCAAGCCAGCGTTGTTCTGGTGGCCAAGGGTTAATAAAAATGCAGGTTGTAATGTTCGCTTCGGCAGCATACATATAAAACTAGAATGGTACAGAGAAGAGTAGTATGGCCCCTGAGCAAGGATTAAGCAAATTGATGAAGAGTTCCATACTTTTTTTTTACTCCAAGCTCTCTGCTTCCGTTCCTGCCTCCAGGCTCCTGCCTTGACTTCCCTGATGAAGGACTATATAACCTATAAGCCAGATAAACCCTCTCCTCCCAGAAATAAGGAAAAAAAAAAAAAAAAAAAAAAAAAAAAAGAACAAAAGGAAGGAAATGAGGGAGGGAAAAGAAAGAAAGAAGAAAGAAAGTGTAAATTGTAGCAACTAGCCTACTACAATCAGAAAAGATTGCTTAACGGTACTGGACGCTGTCAAGGGTGTAGTGGAATTACTGATTGGGGAAATAAATTGGCAATTAGCATGAGTTTAGCTGAAAAAGGTGGAGTCTGTGTTTGTGAGGAGGACAGTGCTGCACATTCATTCCAAACAATGTTGCACCACTGTTACCATGGGCCTCCATGGTTCTCAGCAATGACATACCCAAAAACTTAGGAATAGACAACAGATGACCCCTTTACCAACTTAATGGAGCAGTCGTTTGGAAAATGGAATAATGACCTCACCTTTAACATCCATCATAATAGTTGGAGTCGTGATTCCAGTAGGTTGTTGTAGACAACCTTGTGTTCTAGGTCTAGTCCCAAGGCTTATAGTAACAGCTAGTGCCAAGCAGCCGCCACTCGGTGCCCACATAACCCTTTCCATTGGCCGCTCAGCAAGAGAGCTCCAGTGCCTCTTAAGAAAATTTGAAGAAGGGGATATATAACAGAACAGGGGTAGGGGTTTGTGAAAGATTTAATCTTTTTTATCAAACAAGTTTAGTAGTGGTAGCCTGCTTCCTCTCAGGTCCCTCCTGTTTTGCTACTCTGTAAGGACTTTGTGTTTGTTTAGCCAGATGTAATCTGCTTCTTGGAATGTCCATATGTCTGACACCCTGACTCATTGCCACAACTTCCTGGAATGGTTATCTGTTAAAATTTACCCCTTCAGGCTGGAGAGATGGCTCAGCAGTTAAAAGCACCCAGCTGCTCTTGCAGAGGTCCGGAGATTGGTTCTTAGCACCCACATGGTGGTTCACAATGATCTTTAACTCTGGTTCTATGGGATTTAATGACCTCTTCTGGCATCCATGGACACCAGGCATGCACATGGGTCACAGACATACATACAGGCAAAACACACCTGTACTCCCATGCACATGGGTCACAGACATACATACAGGCAAAACACACCTGTACTCGTAAAACAGTATTTTAAAAGCATTAAAAAACCCATCCTTTCTCTCTGTACTTTTCTGTTTCCTTTGTTGCTAGTTTTCAAACTGGCCAATCAGGTGTAAATTGTGAGGTTGATTCAGCCAAATCCCCCTTGCATTAGGGATAAAAGGTTGACACCATTTGGGGCTGGTTGTGCGTAGTTTCTGGCGTTTGACAGCAACACACCCTTTTGTGCACAAGTAAAGTTTTGCTTTGTCAAACCACATTGATTGATTGGTTGACTGATTTTTTTTTTTTCCCCCGAGACAGGGTTTCTCTGTGTACCAGCCCTGGCTGTGCTAGAACTCACTTTGTAGATCAGGCTGGCCTTAAATTCAGAGCTCCACCTGCCTCTGCCTCCTGAATACTGGGATTAAGGGCGTGTGCCACCATACTGGGCTTTTATTTTGATTTTGAAACAAGCTTTCTCTGTAACAGCCCTGCCTGTCCTGGAACTTGCTATATAGAGCAGACACTGCCTTGAACTCAGAGATCTGCCTTCTTCTGCCTCCCAAGTGCTGGATTTAAAGGTATACGCCAACACACCCGACTCTGAAACACGGTGATTTCTTGGTTTGCCTTGTCTCTGATCTTGTCTCTAGCAGCAGTATTCTGACACATGGGAGAGTTTCTTGAAGGTTCCAAGAGAAACACTTTGTTTCTATTTTTTTTCTTATTGTAACTTTCATTTTTGTTTTATGTGAATAGGTGTTTTGTCTGTGTGTGCACACAGGTTCATGCACTGCCTGCAGAGGCCAGAAGAAGGCATTGGATCCCCTGGGGAAAAGAGTTACAGACAGTTGTGAGCCATCATGTGGGTGCCGGAAATCGAACCTGGGTCCTCTGGAAAAGCAACCAGTGCTTAGCCATATTTCCAGTGCAGTTTCTGTTTTTGTCTTCTGTGAAAGGTGACTAGACATCCAAGGGCCAGTATCCCATAAACAACCCCCCCACACACACACATTTGTGAAATGTTGCTGTACATACCTGTTTGTTCAACCCTAAACATTCTGAGATTGTCGCCCTCTCCTTGTGCCCAGTTGAGCTAGATTACAAGGTCAAGCTCCTACAAATGAAATGACACACAGTCACCGCACCTACCTGCCTTTGCTTGCCAGTGAGGTCTGGCTTGTGGCATGCCATTAATGTAAAAAGTGCCTCACTTTCTCTTTATGCATCATTGTGCCACACTGAGAATATTCTTTTCTAACAGTTCTGAGAAAATATACATTCAGACTCCACTTTACAAACCAGGAAAACGAAGCTGAGCGAGAGGAAGTCAGTCCTACAGAGTCAGAAGCTAGGAGCCTGAGGGTCCAGGCTGCACTGCTCAGGGGGATTAGGAACTCAGGGACCTCCTCTCCCAGGTGAGGCGAGAGATGTCCAGCTGTAGCCCTGGATGCACTGCAGAGAGAAGTACCTGCCTCCCTAGGGCCTATTCCATCAAAGAGTAACTGTCATCTAGGTGTGCTGGTAGCTGCCAAAACAAGCCTGAGGCCAAGGTCTGCTGGTGGAAAAAGAGAATCCAAATTTCTGCCCAGGTGAGTTGCCTGGGCTTGTCTCTCTCAGCCTGGTGTCGTAGCTCCTGGAGGCTTTCACCCCACTGGCTTTACAGGTCTCTCTGGAATGTTCTTAGAACCCATAGAAAACGCTGCCAGAGTATCAAGGCCCTGCAGGAAGATTCAGAACTCCCCCCCCCCTGCTGTGCTCTGCTCATCCGGGCTGAAGTCTGCCCTGAGCCCTTGGCAACAGTGCACCAAGATTTCCAACTAGCCTTGTGCGTGCCCTGAGGATAGAGCTGTGCAGGAAAGCAGGGACCCTGGATGGGCTCTACGTCTGGCTAGCCACTGCAGGACGACCTGTCTGTGCTGCTGCAGCCAAAACCTGTGCATTGCAGGAGCCATGCCATTATCCAGGTGCATGAAGGCACCCTACTCCCTTTGTGAAAACCTCACGGCCACAAGCCACTGTCCAATGTTCTTCGCTGTACAATACAGCCTGGACACCCCCTGGCCCGCCCTGACCTGCCCCAGGCACAGCCGAGCTCAGCCACCGTCTGCCTGGCCTGGGCTGTGTGCAGCCCCAGCTCCAGGCACACCTGAATCACAGTTCCCCACTACTCTGGCCATTTGTCCAGGCCTGTGAAGGGCAGGGCAGGGCAGGGCAAGGCAGAAGGTCACAGAAGTTTCCCACAGGACAAGTGGCAATATGGGAGACATCTGAGGTTCTCACAACTAGGGACAAGTAGGAGGGCTCTTTTATAGGGGCCGTGGTGGTGGCTGCTCACAGGCCACCTGTGACTAACCTAAACAGTCAACAACCTGGACAGGTCTTGTTTTCAGTTGGGGGTGCTGGGGACGGAACTCAGAGCACCCCACATTCTGGGTTAACACTCACTATTGAGTTAAAACCATAGCCTGGCATCCAGATCTTTGTGGGTTCGAGGCCAGCCTGGTCTACAGAGCTAGATCTAGGACAGGCAAGGCTGTTACATAGAGAAACCTTGTCTCAAAAAACAAAACAAACAAACAAAAACAATAACAAAAAGTAGCCCAGCAGTGAGTGAGTGGCTGGGGGTTTTTAAAGGGCCATGGTTCCAAGGAGCCATGTGGGGAGGACGGCCTCTTAGAAAAGTAGACTCTGTTCACAAGTGAGCATACCTGAGCTAGCCCCTCCCACCATAAAGAAAGGCAGAGGATGCTGGTGCCACTGTGCACAAAGAGAGCTCAGCAGGCTCCTCCCAGCAGTGCCAGGCCTGGGGGAATTCCAGAGAGAGGCCCACTGCATTCCTCTACCTGGGTGGGCAGGAGCCGGGGGCCCTGTGCATTCCTGGTAGAGACGGGCCCACAGGCTGCTGCACCAGCATCAAGAGGGACCTAGATAACCTCTGCCCAGGCTCAGCTCAGTGCAGTGGGGCTAGGCCTCGCTGAGGACAGCAGGGGTCTCTGCCACACTTAGAGGCCTGGAAAGCTACTAGGTTAGGGCTTTTCCAGCCTGGTGGGCGGGTGTGTCTGGGGGGGTAGGATGGGGGGGCAGTGTCACTGGTGTCTGGAGTCAAATGCTCACCTGTCCAGTCATACGTGGCTTGTCTGCCACAGTTTGTTCTGTGAGCCGGGTCCCCGGTGACACTGTCCCTCCCATTGGAACCATATACAGGGCTGCAGAGGCCAGGAAGTGGCCCCTGGCTCCATGCACAAAGGTGGCTCTGGGACTGGGCCAGAGGGCCCAAGGCAGACGATGGTAAAGGTGGAGAACAATTCATCACTGTCCCAAGGTTCCAAGGGCTATGCCTGGCCTGGTGGTGTAGCAAGAGCTAGTCTGGGCCCTCCTGGCAGGAGAAGGCACAGAGGCTCTCCCTCTACCTTCAGCAGGACTGTTGCCGGGGATCTGAGAGAAAGCCCTCAGTGCCCGGCTGCTGGGACCGCATATAGACCTCTGGAAAGAATCATCTTGTGCTTACAGCTTACAATGAGACCTCCCCGCCTGCCCAGACGCAAACCCTCAGAAAGCAGGAGCCTCTAAGTCTCCAGATGTTTACATTCCCTGGAGATATATTTCTACGCAAGAGTCACAGGACAAATATTTTGCTAATGTTGGAACTTGGGGCAAACAGAGCAGGAACGCAACCTCCACCTTTGATCAACCCCTTCCACATAGGTATGACCTCCTCAACAGGCCAACCCATGTTCCCAGATGGCCTGGCCTGAGCTGAAGGCTACCCAGCCTGGCCAGGAATGGCCTCCCACCTCCCACATCAGTAACACCTCCCACATCAGTGGGCACCGCAGGTTCCTTCCAAGC